GACAACTGGGCATTCTGCTCCATTCATTTTTATCCTAGGTCAAAGGCTAGACCATCATCTGGAGCATTGCTTGTCACTTTGACAAAGGAGAAGAAAAGACAACTCTGGAGGGATTAGAATCAACAATAAATAATATGGTCCAGAAATGAAGTTACAGCCACTGAGAGATCAATGGCCAGAACCAGTCAAAAGGACTATCCTCTATGGGATGGCCAGAAGGCACAATCCTGCCTACTCAATTCATAGGAAGTGAAGAACTGGAAATGTTTAGGAATGGCATTAATGGGACCACCACAGCTCTAGAAGAAGAAGCACTTTCTTTCTTTTTAAAAATAAAGTTGTCTTTTAATTCCACTTGACATAGAATTTTTAATGACTTATTTATTTATTTGAAAGTGAGAGTTACATAGAGAGGAGAGATGGAGATCTTCTACCTGCTGGTTCATTCTCCACATGGTCACAATGGCCAGGGCTGGGCCAGGCTGAAGTGAGGAGCCAGGAACTTCATCTGGGTCTCCCAAGTGGTTGGCAGAGGTCCAAACACTTGGGTCATATTTCACTGCTTTCCCAGGCCATTAGTAGAGAGCTGAATCATAAGTGGAGCAGCTAGGACTCAAATCAGTGCCCCTACAGGATGCTGGCATTGCAGATGGTGGCTTTACCCACTATGCCACAATGCCGGTACTAGAAGGAGCACTTTCTAATGGTTAGAATTATTCACACATGGATGGGTTTGCCTTGTGAATTGAAAACGCTTCCTTCAGTGAAGGATTCAAGTCAGGAATGGATAACTGTGTAATATAATATAGAAAGATTTCTAACTCTGAAAAATACACTGTATCTCAAATTTTGTGTCATATATTCTTCTGTATCTTCATTAGATAATTTGTATACCTCAACAAAATTTTCAAAATGCCTTTTCACTGAATATTACAACCCTTTTATTATTGCTACTATTATTGTTATTATTATTTGATGCAAGTCTTAAGGACTTTAGAATTCTTAGAATATCTTTGTAATTGTTACAAAAACATGCACATTCCTTAGTCAATAACTGGGTCCCACCAGTATCTCTGCCTGTATATATTGCTTGAAAACCTGTGGATTAGAAATGACCATCTTAATGCTTTTGGCTAAACTGGAGACTTCCATTGTGATAACTGAAGGTTGGGGGAGGAAGAGGGATTTCCAGATTATCTAGTTGCCACAAAAAAGAATAGACTTTGTGTTTGTGTGTGTTGTAGGGGTGGTATAGGGAGAGACGTTTGGGAAGATCTGACAATGATAATTTTGATAATGTTTACTATATATGTGTGTATGTATTACATGTGCTAATATATATTTAACAAGGAATAAAACTGGAAGTTAGATAATGGTGAGGCTGCTTAGGGTCCTGATTGCAATGCAAGGGTATTACAATTTATGGGTTAAATGTAAAGTTTTTATACAATATTAATTAGGCAAGCAACAGCCTATCAAGGAGCAAAATGTGGAATTTATAATGTACCAAAGTTTCTAGAATGCTGTTGTTCAGTATTATAGAAAAAAGTAATTTTTGGCGACCAGAGTGCACAATGAAGAAATTGTCAAAGATTTTCTATATTACATTTTTATAATAAATTTTCTATATTACATTTTTATAATAAATTCAGAGTTTCACGATATGGAAATATTGATACTTTTTGATAATCAATAATGAACTTTTAATAAGATGTCATTGATGAGTGAGTCTTCATTGTGAAGATTTTTCTCTTTCTTTTTGGTTTTCATCAGTTTGACATTGTCATGCTTAGGTACTGTTTCCTTTGTATTTTTTCTGCTTAGGATTTTCTGAGCTTTTGTAATATTGTAGATTGAGATATTTCATCAATTTGGAAAAATCCTGTCATTATCTCTTTCAGTATTATTTTCTGCACCATTGTCTTTCTTTCCTCTTCCTAGAACTCCAATTGTATGTGTATCTTACTGTTTATTGATGTCCCCCAGGTCTTCCAGGCTATGGTTCATTTTTCTTTACCATTCTTTTTACCTTTATGATTCAGTTGGGATAATATCTATCTGTCTGTCTTACAATTCACGTGTTCTTTCTGTGTTGTGTCTGTCTGTGTTAAATGATTTTGTCACTTCAAATATTTTACATTTATGCTCTAAAGCCTTTCTTAAAGTTCTCTCCTGAAATATTCCACCATCCAACAATGATTTTCATCATTGCCTCAACTTTCTATCTTAAGTATAATAATTAAAGTCTTTTTTCATTTAAAACTCTGGGTCAACTGTGGGTCAATTTCCACTGACTGATTTTATTCCATGCTTCACATTTTTGCACTTCTATGGATATCTTATATTTGTGTGTTTTATGCCAACAAGTAAGAAATTTTTTAAGAACGAAGTACAAAATACTTTTACCACACAAGGGACTGATCTATTTGTTCATACCAGGAATTGCGCTAAGGTGGGATTGGGTTGCAACTCTAGTTGGTTTTAGTTTCTTACTGGTTTTAGAAGCTTTAAATGGTGAAAGAACCCCCTTTTGAATGAGCTTCATACTCCAGCATCAGATAACTATGAGATTCTGCTGTGTTCTCTCATGCTGCCCCAAGACTTCTGAGCCATTGGCAGTTTCTCTTTGCTTTCATGCAGCAACTCAATTGCTCACATGATCCTGAGGACTAGTAAACTTATTAATTTGAAAATTAGTAATAGCAAGGGCATGCTTTGTGTCTGGGGCTTATATGTGTTCCACATTCCTCCTTACTCAAAAATTGTTAAGAATTCAGCCAGTTTCTACTTTCCACTTTTCCTGGGATTCAATGTGCCTTTAATTCTAAGTCATGTAGAAGGGACTTATCCATTTCTGAGATTTTGTTTCTCTTTATTAGCAACTTCAGTTCTCCAAGGGCTTCAGAATGTATATAACTCTGTAATTTATTTGATATTTGTTTCCTTGTCTTTATGCAAAAGTTGACCATTTGTGACCATCTCCATCATAACCACAACCAGGACTTTGAAAGCTCTCTGGTGTTGTGCACATTTATAAATGTATTTTAACTTAGAATATGCTCTTTTTTCTCTTTATTGAAATAATTATCTAAGTCATCTTCAAAATAGGATAATTTTTTATTAAAAATATTTATTTATTTGAAAGTCAGTTACAGAGACAGAGAGAGAAGTGATCTTCTAACTTCTGGTTCATTCACCAAATGACTACAATGCCAGGGCTGTGCCAGACCAAGACCAAGACCTAAGAGCTTCTTCTGGGTCTCCCGTGTGGCTGCAGGGGCCCAAGGATTTGGGCCGTCTCCCACTGCTTTCCCAAGCCATTAGTCGGGATAGGGGTCTGGATCAGAAGTGGAGCAGCCAAGACTGGATCTGGCAGGCATATGGGATGCTGGCATTGCAGATGGTGGCTTAACCTGCTGTGCCACAGCACCGGACCCCAGGACAAATTCTTAAAAAAACATGTATTTCATGTTTTTGTGAGCATTTTTATATTTACTAAGTTGACAATTGACTTTGTGAGCAATGTAACTTTTATGTCTTGTACATGGACATTTAGATACAAAAAGAGGAATTTCAGATTCATGGAAATTTAGACGCAGAAAAGAGAAGTGAGTTATTCAAGACCACAATAAAATTAATGATATAACTAGGTCTGTACTGGCCGAATTCTTTATTTATTTGAATGTATCTCTGAATAAGGGTAATAGCTGGGATTTTTTGTGCTAGATTTTGATTCTAAATGCAAGGATAAAAATAGATAAAATTATTGTTAATAGCATTTGTTCAACCTTACCTTTAAATGATGACTGAAAGCAGGTTTGTGATTGTGTCCTCCTCCTCTTTATTTAGTTTACATTTTCTTATCACAAGGGGTGTTCACAGCCAACAGCCAAATGAAAAGTACAGGCTGATTAAGGATCTCTTTTGTCAGTAATTTGTGCCTAATGTTTTTAGCTTTCCCATGGGCTGTTGTAGAAAATGGTAAATCTGGTTTAAATGAAACCTGATCCTGTTAATGGCTTAATAGCAGCTGCCACAAGGTTATAGCATTTTTCAGTAGATGACTCTGTTTAATTTTATGCCTAAAATAAATGTTGGAATACTTGCATAAATCATATAAAATATACCTCCATACTTTTGAATTAATAAATTATTACAATAGATAAGTTCCTAATTTTGCCTATTTCAAATTATTCAAAAAAAGTGTTTTAAAAATTTAAAAAAATTTTTTTTAAATTAAATATTGTTTGTATCATTCACTTTTCTAAGATGTTTTAAAAGGTCAAGGGATAGGCTTGATCTCTATATATTGGAACTTTAACAGGAGATTGGTCAATCTGATTATTTCCACCATTTTTATACCTACTGCTATTTGTTTAGCACTGACAAATTGCTTACGTAGTGATGTGCATTATAGCATCAGCTGAAGTCAGCAGAGTAGCCACAAAATGAAATGAGATTGTGTTTTTCTTCAAGAGATGAACTTGCAATAATAGGATTAGTTTCTCTGCAGTGTGATAGCTTGTGAACCTCTTTTAAAAAGCATTTTTTTTTTCTGCACAAAACACTTGCTCTGGGTAGGTGAATGGTATGAAGATAAGTGACAGGTATGTAAAACAATGATTATGATGGAATATGGAAATAGTTACACAATAGAGGTACCAGGTCAAGAAATGAGGAAAGAAAATATGGAGTACCATGTTAATGAACACATCGCAAGCTCGATTTACGAAGCTCAACAAATGTGAACTCTTGAGCTGGCAGGGTCAAATCTGTCATCTCATTTGCATCACATTTTCAGAGTAGTCTGCTCCACTACCTGGGACTCAGAGGGTTATTTATGTATGTAAGTCCAAGGATGGGTTTTCAGGGGCAAACAACAGGAATAGAGAAACGCTTCTTCACTTAATTATAAATTGTTTATAGACAGCACTGAATACAGTTTGTTTCCAAAAATATGAGCATCCCTATATCTTCCTTTGTCTAAATATCTTTCCTAGGCACTCCCTCAACAGAAAGCTGTGAAACCTGGCCTGGCTTTGTTATTTGAACTCTTCCTTCTTCGTGGGACTTGCGCTGGCCCTGACCGTGTTGTGGGTTGGGCAGTCTTCCCTTTGTGTGACAACAACTTTGATGTAGTGGAGGGAAAATTCAAGTGTCCCCTTCTCCGAGGACATTACGACCAGAATGTTGGCAACTTCAGGAAAATTGAAGATTTGATTTGCCTGGATTTGGACAACTGGCTGGGCAATTTCTATTTTCAGGTTGGCAGTATGACTTTATAAGTAGTGAAAGATTTAAAAATTTCCAAAGCTGCTTTCTTTCTAGCCTTTAGCTTCCTTTCATGCTGTTGAAAATTTTAATAAGTATCATAAAATTGTAGAAGTAATTACATCTTAATGGTGATTTCTCATAATGAAGATTAAATTGATATGTAGAAATAAGGCTTAACATTCTAGAGTTAGTGAGAAATTTGAAGATAATTTAATACAGTCTTCTATGTTGTGAATGGGCCATAATTGCTGCCTAAATCTTCTGATTCTTCGTTCATACTTTGTTGGTGTTGTAGCACACTGTGCAACTTCTCCTCAACATGCAATAGGACCGTGACAGGTTTTCTTACTGAAAGTAGTTATTGCTCTTCCACTGTGTGTTGTGCATTGTTTATTCTTGGGATACCAAAGAGGTAAGATGTGGTATGTTTAAGTTAGTATTTTGTGGCTGTAATGAAACAGCTGAGGCAAACAATTTGATAAAAAGAAAAGATTTATTCAGATCACAGTTTTGGAGATTTGAATCCAAGACTGGGTAGTGCCAATGATTTGGCTTCTGATGATGGTGGGGGAAGACAAAAGAAGGAGAATGTGTCAGAACTAGGAACAGGGAGAGAGGGTACTCAAGAAGGAAAAATATGCAAGCAAGATAGACTATATTTCTCTTCCAGGAAAATTATTCTGTCAATGCTTCATTCTTCAAGGAGAGAGGGTGGGCTCAAACAGTGATTTTCTGAACAATTATCTCATGAGAACTCAAGAGGTCACATAAGAATGAACTTCTCAGGGCAATGACCAGAGTGACTCAAGGACCACCCACTACAGGTTTCATCAAGTTCCAACAGTAACATGGGGGCCCAGCCTTCAACACATGGACCTGTTGGACTCATATGTGTAGTCTATTTGTCCAAATGTGTTATTACTGAATATGCTGTATTCCATGTTGCTATGTCATAACGTAGTATGGATTGTTCTTTCTTACCTACATGTTGGAATATTTGTTTCCTCCCTACTTCTCTCTCTCTCTTTCTATCATCATCATCATTCCAATTTTGGTGTATGTGCTGCTGAAGCGAGAACATATCTATCTATCTATCTATCTATCTATCTATCTATCTATCTTCTGTCTATCCACTTTCCTATCTATCTGATAAAACTGTTAAATATTTTTAGGAAATACATAATTTTTATCTTAAAATTAGTAGCTACATTTCCTTCCTGTATGATGGGGTGTTCCTGTTGCCTGTGTAGTTTGAGCAGAAGTATCAGAAATGATCTTTTTCATTATGTGATTGCACTGTAATGTTATGCTGAAATATGGTCAACCTAGTTGTGCTATTAGGAAAAACCCTCTCATGTGGCAATTCTGTTTGTACATTATAATAACGTGGGAAATTTTAAATTATTGCTGCCTGGGCCTTATTCTCAGACTCTAAAAATCTGTTTATTTCTGATGGAAGCTCAGACATCAGAAGTTGTTAGTAGCTTCTAAAAAATCAGAAACATTGAAATAAATATACTTGAAAAGGAAGACTATTATAAATGAAATGCAAAGAAGTTATTTAAAAAATTACCCTAATCTTTTAACAAAATATTTTAAAAATATGTGAATTGAGTATTGTACCAAGGTAACAAATATATTGCAAATTAGAATATGGCCATAAGAGAAAAGAAATTTTGTTATAACTAGTGTGAAATCATATATAATTCTAAGTACCTTGTTTTACTATTTGTTACCTAAAAGTCAGTGATAAATCATGCCATGGAAAGTCTGTACCATATTGACTTTGTTTCATAAAAAACAACTTACATAGAACTATTTTTAATCATAAACAGATTTTATATTTGAGATTAAGTCAAGAAGTGATGCTTAAAAGTTATAGGATCAAAGAAATGGTTATTTGTTAAACAATATTGTAAGAATAAGCTAACTTTGCTAAAACCTTCTTAAATGCATTGCTTAAATTTTCTACTCTCCCTTCCCAAATTTCATATTTTAAAATGGTTGTGGATAAAAGTAATATTATGGACTGGCGCCACAGCTCACTAGGCTAATCCTCCACCTGTGGCGCCAGCACTCTAGGTTCTAGTCCCGGTTGGGGCGCCGGTTCTGTCTGGGTTGCTCCTCTTCCAGTCCAGCTCTCTGCTGTGGCCCAGGAAGGCAGTGGAAGATGGCCCAAGTGCTTGGGCCCTGCACCCACATGGGAGACCAGGAGGAAGTACCTGGCTCCTGGCTTTGGATTGGCACAGCGCGCGGGCTGTTAGTGGTCAATTGGGGGAGTGAACCAATGGAAGGAAGACGTTTCTCTCTGTCTCTCTCTCTCACTGTCTGACTCTGCCTGTCAAAAAAAAAAAAGTAATATTATGAATATTATGGTTTATCCATAGAGCCCAGCTGGTCATCATTCATTAAAGATGGATGTAGTTGTCCCCTAACATTCTTATTTGGCAGATAATAGTAAGAATATTCTCTCTCTGTGTATGGTTTGTGGGGAAGTGAGTCTTATTAATAAAAATAATAGCATTTTTCAAAAGGCATGATTTGCTGACTATAAATAGGCAGAATAAGTGGAAATGTTGAAGCTTCTCTTTTATGAGATTGAAAATGAAACACTATTCTTTTTTTTTAAACTTTTATTTAATGATTACAAATTTCCAAAGACAGCTTATGGATTACAACGGCTCCCTGCCCCATAACTTCCCTCCCACCCACAACCCTCCCCTTTCCCGCTCCCTCTCCCCTTCCATTCACATCAAGATTCATTTTCATTTCTCTTTTATACAGAAGATCAGTTTAGTATATATCAAGTAAAGGTTTCAACAGTTTGCACCCACATAGAAACACAAAGTGAAAAATACTGTTTGAGTACTAGTTATAGCATTAATTCACAATGTACAGCACATTAAGGACAGAGATCCTACATGAGGAGTAAGTGCACAGTGACTCCTGTTGTTGACTTAACAATTTGACACTCTTGTTTATGGCATCAGTAATCTCCCTAGGCTCTTGTCATGAGTTGCCAAGGCTATGGAAGCCTTTTGAGTTCACTGACTCTTATCTTGTTTAGACAAGGTCATAGTCAAAGTGGATGTTCTCTCCTCCCTTCAGAGAAAGGTACCTCCTTCTTTGAAGACCTGTTCTTTCCACTGGGATCTCACTTGCAGAGATCTTTCATTTAGGGTTTTTTTTTTTTTTTTTTTTTTTTTTTTGCCAGAGTGTCTTGGCTTCCCATGCCTGAAATATTCTCATGGGCTTTTCAGCCGGATCCACATGCCTTAAGGGCTGATTCTGAGGCCAGAGTGCTGTTTAGGACATCTGTCATTCTATGAGTCTGCTGTGTATCCCGCTTCCCATGTTGGATCATTCTCTCCCTTTTTTGTTCTATCGGTTAGTATTTTCAGACACTAGTCTTGTTTATGTGATCCTTTTGATTCTTTGTCCTATCATTATGATCAATTGTGAACTGAAATTGATCCCCTGGACTAGTGAGATGGCATTGGTACATGCCACCTTGATGGGATTGAATTGGAATCCTCTGGTATGGAAACACTATTCTTATTTTTTAAAGATTGTTTATTTGAGAAGTAGAGTGACAGAGAGAGGGGGAGAGACAGAAAAAGAGGATTTTCATCCACAGGTTCACTTCTCAAGTGCCCACAGTGGCCAGGACTGGACTAGGCTGAAGCTGGAAGCCTGGAGCTCCATCTGGGTCTCTTACCTGGATGGCAGGTACCCAAGCACTTGGGCCATCTTCCACTACCTTCCCAGATGCCTTAGCAGGAAGCTGGACTGGAGCAGAACAGCAATATCAGTGGCAACTTAACCTTCTACATCACTGTGCTCACCTCCCTATTTCCTCTTACATGAGATTCTAAAACTACTCTGATTTCAGCCCCCATACCACCTGTAGGAACTCAAGAAGGAAAAATATGCAAGCAAGATAGACTCTATTTCTTTTCCAAGAAAATTATTCTGTCAATGCTTCATTTTTCTGGGTATTTCATTTTCTGTGTCATTGTTTATTTTTCCCAAACACTTTATTATTAACATTTTAGACATAAGCAATTGAAAAAAATGCAGTGTATATCTACTTGTACTACATTCTATAATCTTGTCATTTTTCTTTGAACTTAATAGCATTGCTTGAATAATAAATATTGAATGAATATTTGCTGCTTTCATCCCATATGAATTTTATGCACCCAGTGTTATCTGGAAGAAGGAAATAAAGAAACTTATACATAAAAGCAAAAATCCTAATAAATATATTCTGCAAATAGCAGCATAAGAGGCAAATATGTAAATCAGTTAATAAAAAACAACAATTCTTCGTAAAACAAACACACAAAAACAAATAGTTTGGAAAACTGGATTCATTATTATCATGTAGATCTTCAAATTGTGACTTTCTAGAGAAAAATCAAGTGTGTTTGTAATAATGTCAGCAGTTTACATAACAGATTTAATCTCTCTATAGGTAATTAAACTTCCTTTGCATTTGGATGATCAAAACCACTTTGAAAGCAATACTCAGCTTTCTCCTGAATTTCCGGTTTCTTTAATGACTGAAGCAGAGAAAGCAGAAATAGGTGTGGACAATCCAGCTGACCTTTCTGAAAAAGAAAAGAAAAACATCTGGGCATCGACGAATGATGAAACTGAATCCACCTTGGACTCTTCACCAGGTTGGTTGACTTTTTTATTTGTTACTAGTATTTTTATTACTACTATTTCAAGTTATTTTATGTTAAACAAAACTAGATAAGCATTATTAATTCTCTGAGAATGTTTTATTTTCTATACTATGTACATTCACAGAGAACGCAATCGTTAACTAGAATATTAGAACACTGTATTTCCTATAAAGGTAAATATAAAAATTCTTCTTTGAAAGAGAAGGCTTTTTCCATGGCCTTTTGCTCTAAGGATATTTTTAGGTTTATATGGGGGGATAACTTAACTTATTTTGCTTCTTATTTGTAGATTCTTTCTTGTATACTCTTGAGGGGGTAATCAATTAGTTGCTATGAAAGAAAATATTCTCCCAAGAAAGTTCTCAAATAATATATTATTTTGTAGACATTGTTTTCAAAGACAGGTTTAATTAAACACTAGGTGAGCAAATAAAGTGTTCTTTTGAAATATTCAAAATACAAAAGCTCCATTTTCCTGAAGATGTATGCAAGAGATCTTCGGAAAGTCATTGGAAAACACATGTTATTTTAAAACATCATGGATTTCAAAATAAGACAAAATAAACTTATCTTTTAATTTCATTTTTGCATCAGCCTTTTGAAGTATCCACATATTAGAGATGATAATTTTACTACAGGATTATTTCCTTTACCAAATACTTAACAAGTTTCTTTAAGAAGCTGGATCTTTCAACAGTAAATAATAGTGTTAGTAGCAATCCTATGGAATGGGTTGGTGGTAATCGCAGTGGTGGTAGCAGTTAAAATACTACCAGCACAGTCCTAACACCAGAGGAATTACCCATGAGAAGCCTTGCGGTAAGCACAGAAACTGTAGTCACAGAATTTTACACAGATATCTATCCAATTATATGTCTTGGCTTTAAACAAATGTTTGTGAACGTTAACTAGAAATTTTGATATCTATTGATGCTGGGTTATGAATGTCAGGGATACAGCATAAATTTATGGAAATTTACTGTTTCTCACACTTCAGAACCTGGACTAAATTTACTTGTAGCCAGAGAAAACAGGAGGCTTGGGGGCAAAATGAATAGAGTGAGACATCCTCCAAATGTATACCTGTAAGCTTAATTATGGAATTTAATAGATTTAAGACTTCAGTGTTTTAAAGTTTAAGTGCAGACATCCAAGGTGGACAATAATGATTGTGTTAATACATGTGTGTGGACACAGGAAAGGTGAGGCGTGGGGGCTCTCCAGAAAACCAAGGGCACTGGAAGTCTTTAAGACTTCAGAGTGCCACGAAATCGTCTTCAAACAAGGTCCCAGCCCATGGCGATTTTCATTTCATTCCAAATTTCTGCATGGGGCAATTCTGTTGAGGACATTCAAAGATGAGGCTAAGTCTCATCCAGTGTTTCCATGGAATGATTGCTATGTCACACCTTTGTTTTGGATTGAATTCATTCAGCAGACTTTTCAATATCAGTGGCAGAGATGCCCTTGGTGTATGAAGACAAATTGTGTTAGCATTCCAACTGTGTAAGCTTGGTACTGTGGTTTGAGGATGCACCTTGGAATTCACGTTGGAAACTTGGATCTCAAGGCAACATTGTTGAGAGGCAGGGTTCTGCCCTTAGGAATGGATTAATCCACTCTGGGAATAACGGGTAAGAGGACTAATGGGCTATTGAGAGATCAGCTAATTTTCAGGAGAATGGATCTGTTATAAAAGCCAGTGTGGCCCTCTCTCCTGAGCCCTCCAGCCACGTGCAGCTCTGCACCACCCAGAACTCTGCAGGGCCCTCTGCAGGCACAAGGGCCTGATCACAAGTAGCCCCTTGACTTCTACTTCCCAGCCTCCCGAACTGTAAGAAATACGTTCCTTTCCTTTACTAATTACCTACCAATAGAAAACAGAATGCTGGGAATCCGAGCTCTGTAAGAGGGAGAGTAAATCCAAACCTTTTCTGCTGATACAAAATATCACATTGATTTTTGTTTCAATATTAAGTTCAGAAGTCCACTGTAAAGGCTGGGTGTTGTGGTGCAGCAGGTTAATCTGCTGCGTGGCACCCCTACGTCTGGTATTGGAGTGCCTCGGATTAATTCTGGCTCCTCTGCTGATGTACCCTCCTGCTAAAGCACCTAGGAGGCAGTGGATGTTGGCTCAAGTATTTGACTTTGATACTCATGTAGGAGACTCAGAATCCCAAACTCCTGGTTCTCACCTGGCCAAGCCACTGCTTTTGTGGGCACTTGTAGAATAAACAAGCAGACAGAGGATTCTCTCATCCTCTCTTCCTCTCTATCTCCCTCCTACCACCCCCCCCCCCCCGTCCCATCACGCTGGCTTCCAACTAAATAAATAAATCTTGTAAAAAAAAAAAAAACTGTAAAGCTGCTACATGACACGATCAAATATGCACATTTCAAAGTAGATTTTCCCCCCTGCTCCATGTTTTTAAAAAAAATCATGGAGCTAAAAAGCTTGTTTTAGAATCTTAACTTTTGAGAAAGTGAGTAGTGACTTCACTAATAATATTTAGTGTTGCTGACATTTTAACATAGTTTTAGGTTACTGCGCAAATTGATTAGAAGCAATTACTCTTAGACCACTTCCCACCAGATCATTTTTGCTTTCTGTTTTTTCCTCAGGGAATGTGTCAATATTTTCCACACGTACTGCATTGTGCTATGAACTTGGCTTAAAGGGTTCTGCTCTCTGTTTCCTTAAAAGGAAGACAGTGGCATTCTAGGAAACACAAATACTGACACAGTCAATATGAGAATACCACATAGCATGAAAGGAAGACTTTTTTGCTTTAGGAAGAACTGATAATTCCTTTGCTTTGGAGGCTAATTCAAGCCTCACGTCCTAAGACTGGGAACTTCTGCTCCTAAGCTGAACAAATTTTTACAAAAATAGGACATACAAATCTCTTCCAGTATGTCTCTGCTATTTCTTATATTTACTTATTTTTCTTGGAATCTTCCTGGGTGTATTATTAGTGGTTAATATCCCCTATGGGTTTGTTTCCTAATACATCAGGGCTGTGATACAGTATGCTGTTTCTGCCACAGATATGTTGCTAAGAGATTTAATAATGAGTAAACAAACACAACATGTGGTAATTCATTTCAAATTAAAAGTTTATTAAACTCTGGCTTGATGACTTTCTGGCTATTTACAATTAAAGGAGCAAACCTTAGGGAAGGGATGACCACGTGGTGTGTTCATGGCTGCAACGTTTCTGTCTGAAAAATGTGTTTATGCCCTTCTGCAGCTGTCCCACATTGATAGGCTCTGTATGTTATCTGCTGAATATACTACTCTCCCCAGATCAAGACTTCAGTGTTGACTTACAAGCACACACATTGTACACACGTGCTTGCATATGAACACGCATACATATGCACACACATGCTCATGTTGACACATATACCTAGAGATTCCTAATTTATTCCCATGGTTAGTATTTTAAGTGGTGGTCAGCCTTGCTGATAGGTGGATGCCCAAGGCCAGAAATAACTATGAATGGCTAGAAGAAAAGAGCCATCATATATTTTTGGCTTATTATTCATCTTTTAGGCTGTTTACTTTTGGTGGGCATGGACAAGGAAAAGAGTAGTTCCGCTTGATAATTTTGTTCAGAGTTTTATCATGCAACCATGATAAACAAATCACACTGTTAATTTCTGTAGGAGTATCAGCCAAAACAACACTCAGTTGTTTTGATCCCCAGGGATATACTTGTGTCCAAGCTTATTCCACCACGAGAAATGTGTGTATCAATGTATCCAATAGATGATGGGAAGACCTTCCAGTGTTCACTGAGGTGAAACTGTTGATAACTCTGTTTTCTTCAATTTCTTAAAACAAATAAAGTTGGCAACTTTAGGGTATTCTTTCAGGCTGTTCGTTCTATCTGCAAAAAGCCTTAACCATCACTAACATTTTGTCCATCAAAACATGGTTTATCATTTCCTTCCTTTTTTTGTTTAAGATTCATTTATTTATTTGAGACGTAGAACTACAGAGACAGAGAAAGGTCTTCCATCTGCTTGTTCACTCCCCAAATGGCCCCAAAGGCCAGAGCTGGACTGATCCAAAGCTGGGAGCCAGGAAGTCGGGTCATGAACTGGTGCCTAAGGGTTGCTGGTGCCGCAGGCAGAGGCTTAGCCCACTACACCACAGCGCCAGCCCCTATCATTTCCTTCTGAAAGGGGCTCTCCCATACCTCCACAGACTTAGCCTCAGTGCTATTCAGCTTCGCAGAAATTATGTGTTTTCTAGTGCTTCTCCTCTTCCACACAGCCAGACCCAGGTTGGTAGTGACTGGTGATCTTGTCCCACCCCTGGTGCCTGGCACATAGCCATTGCTCAATAAAGAGTGGTTGAATAATGAGGAGATTAATATATTTCTTAAGAAATTGAGAAATTGCAAATCCAAGAAATACATAACAAGTACTTTCATTTGACAATAGCACTATGGAAGAGGGGAAGGCAGTGTAGATTTAGGGTCTGAAATTCAGTGTGAATCTCTCGTTTACTTCCGAATATTGTGATACCTCTGTGAGACAGTGTTATCATGCATGTAAAATAAATACAGTTGATTATGGTTCAACATCCCTGAATTCAATCAAACATAGACTGAAAATGTTTTTAAAACTTTGTATCTGTACTGCACATGTACATACTTTCACTTGTCATTTTTCCCTAAGCAATACTCTATAGCAATTACTTACATTGTATTAGATATTCTAAGTAATCTGGAGATGAGTTAAAGTGTATGGGAAGGTGGAGCTAACATTGTGGTGTATTGGGATGCTGTAGAAGCACATAGAGAGTGGATGATGGCGCTTAATCTGAAGCTCAGAAATCAGGAGCCGGGGCAGATTGATCGCTGAAGCTCAGTAGGTGTGCCCAGTCATTAAGAGACCTACTATGTGACTGTGAGAGCTCCAGTATCTGTCTGGCTTTAGCTATGTCCACATTTTGTCCCTCCAAATCCTTAATCCAGCCT